AAAAAAAAAAAAATCCCCAAGGAAAACTAGATCTTGTTTCCCCTAGAACTGAAGATTTGCAGCACTCTACAATCAGTAGAGTTGGTGCATAGGAGGGATTTGTCCTAGCCCTCTGGGGGAGGGGCCTGCTGCTCTGATTCTCAGGTGGACTTGCCCTAGAGGAGATACACTTGCAGGGTGCTTCCAGTGGTGTTTGGTGAAAGTAGCTCTGGCTTCCACTTGGTGGCACTGTTTTGCTCACTGAACTGGATCAGTGTTGTTGGGGGTGGGGGTAGTGAATGGCTGAGCCTAGGTCTCTTGTCTCTGGAGCAGGGAGATCTTACCTGCCACTCAGGAAGCCCTCACAGATGAGCAATCATCTTTACTGTGTCCCCAGCTTCCATCAGATCCCCACCCTGACCCTGTCTGTGTCTGAGCTGTCTGCCTTCCAGGCAGCAAGCACTCCTGTATTTTATCTCAGGCATGGATGTGATTCTAAACTCCAAACATCAGAGACACTTGTGGCGAGGACCCATGCTGATCCTCTGGGGAGGGTCTTGCTGCACTGTGGCCAGTGCAGTCTTGTCCAAAACTATGGTCACACAACCATCCTCCAGTTCGGAGTTTATGGTACATAGCAGCACAAAACTGGTGCCAAGGCTGCTGTCCTCAGCCAGCATCTTTGTTATGTTATTGAACGGGGCAGCTCAATGGCATCCACAGGATCTTTTGTGCACAGAAAGGCCAAATTACCTCTGCCAAATGCAATCCAAGCAGGGGAACTTTTTCCTCCCCATGCAACCCTCAGACCATGCTGTCCACTCCTGGGTCTCTGCCCTCCTTCCCCACTCAGCACTGCTGAGCCCACTGGGTGCGACCCTCCTGATGGTGCTGACTGCAGAAACTTCAGACTCTGCACTCTACTGTTTATAAAAAACTTGTAGTATTTAAACCCTCTCCTTTTCCCAGTCAGTGGTTTGGGGGAAGTTTTTTTTGTGCAATTCCCTGCGTTTGTTTTCACTCTTGTTTTCACTCTTTCTCTCTTGCTCCTCTCTCCATGATGACAGGAAGTTTCTTAGCTAATCCTATGTTGGTAATTATTTTGCAATATATAAATGTACCAAATCAACACATTGTACACCTTAAATTTACACAATGTTCTATGTTAACTATATCTCAACAAAGATGAAAAAATGATAGACTTTGGTGTCTATTTCCTAATATTAAAGAGGTCAACACTTTTACTGAACATTGTAATAAAAGTCATAGTCAACTCAGTAAGGCAAGGAAATAGAAGTAAACTGTTTTGAATCAGAGATGATATGGTCACATACCTAGTAAATCCAAATAAATCTACAAAAAAATCTACTTCAACTTATTAATAAATTTAACAAGTTTTATAAAAGTGACAAAATACAGAATCATTGCATTAAAATAATTGCACTGTATATTACTAGTAGTGATCAAATGGAAACTGAAATTTTTAAAAAGGCAATTTGCATTAACATCAAAATAGTGTAGCAAATAGAAAAAAAAGGAAAGCCAAATTATACTTATAAGTCTTTAGTAACTCTGACTTATGAAAACTGTGCTACATAAGTTTGGAACTTCTGTTTTACATAAAAATGGATCTGAAAGAGAAAAGTAATTGTAATCATAAATTAAAGGATATATGTGAAACACACTATTTTACAAAACTGTTATACAAAGAGCAAATGTATGCCTTATTTTCCTAAATTATAACTCGTTCTATGCCATTAGAAAAGAAATTGTTTAAATACACAGTTTATGTAAGGTAAACCTTTATAATCTCTAAAAGAAACCATGGACTGTCACATTATTACCAGAAAGTCCATTCTAATGTGCAATAGAGTGATAATTTTTACAAGGTTAATGTTATTATTTTTTATACATGTCTCCACTTTTCTGACTCCAGTTTTAATAACATTAGATTGTGTTGAAAGAGTAAGAAGATGAAAGTCCCTTAGCAGTATAATCCAGCATTTGAAAAGCACTACTAAGTTACATTGTCTATCTTCTGAAGATTAATGATCTAGATTAAACTATCCATACCTATAATACAGCTAAAGTATTGTTAACGTATTCATTTATCAAATAAACAGGTGCCAGCCACTGTGTGGTCAGGCAAAGCAAAAGTGAGCAAAATGAAAAAGTGAGCAAAAAAAAAAGACCCTAGTCCTAGTAGAGTTTCTATTGAAAGCTTATATAGAAGATTTCTTTCCTCCCCCAAGTTATAAAATCTGTAAAATGATTTAATATCATATTTAAAAATCCTATGCATGTGGGATGCCTGGGTGGCTCAGTTGTTTGAGCATCCAGCTCTTGATTTTGGCTTGGGTCATGATACCAGGGTCATGGGATCAAGCCCTACATTGGGCTCAGCGCTGAACGTGGAGCCTGCTTAAGATTTTCTCTCTCCCTCTTTCCCTCTCCCCACTCGTGCACTCTCTTTTTCTCTGTTTCTAAAAAAATAATAAAATAAAATTAAAATCCTGTGGATGTACCTCCCTTTCCCCATATTTTTAAATAAACTTTTCAATAAATAAATATAACCAGACATTATTATATTCTGAAGCTAAATTATAATACCCTGATATCCTTTTAAAAAGAAAAACGTTCTGTCTTTGAAATTATGCAGTAATAAAATTACAACAGAAACAAATATTTTTTTAGGAACATGAGAAAATATCATGCACTATGCCAGATGTTGTTGAAATAAACATATAAATGCCCTCAAATGTAGCATTTTTATTTTTGAGAAAGAGAGAGCACATGAGCAAGGGAAGGGCAGAGGAAGAGAGAGAACTTTAAGACCACATAGGGCTCAACCTCAAGACCTTGAGAACATGACCTGAGCCAAAATCAAGAGTCAATTAACCAACTTAGCAACCCAGGCACCCCTCAAAAGTAGCATTTTAACAGAAGGAGTCATGGTGAAGGCTAGCTACACAAATATTAGAATATTCAGTCAGAAAGAAAATTTTGAATTAGCAAAAAAAATCCAACTTATTTTCTAAAAGCTTGGTAACTTTAGTTTTAATATATACATAAAATCTATAAATCATCATCCAAATATTACTTATGGTGCTCCATTGTTCTCTGGCTCTACCCAACTTCTAAAACTTTTATTCTAATAGTTTTACAAGGTCTGACCTCAAAGCATAGAAGTTCTAACAAAACTCAGTCTTTTATTGTAATAACTATCAAGAAATTGTTATTAGGAATTTAGTAAAGGAAGTGAGCATAAGATTAGATTTTTATACATATGGCTTGCCAGAAGCCAAGCTATCCAACCAGCCTGATGGCAGGGCCCAGGCGGTGTACGGATCAGGACCGTCCCCATCCTAATCTAAATACCTCTTAATTTTAAAATGCCTCCTGGGGGCCAAGTGGGCCTAGGGGTTGGAGTAACCTGTGCCCATAGATACACTCCTTTGTTGCCGGAGTGGGGGTTTTAAATCCATTCGTCCCTCCTTGGCTGGGAAATGTATGAGGCTATCCTTCCTTTAGGTAGAAGAATCTTTATAGGGAGTGGCAAGGGCTAAATGTAGGGCTGCACAATTTCCTTGAGGAACCTTATTTCTTTCCCAAAGGTTCTTTTCCCAGGGGCCTGTCAAGGACAATTCCCCAACAGACAATTCCCCAGGTACTTTATTAAGGCCAAATTACATAAAAGCGGGAGTACAAATGGATTTGAAAGCCCCACTCTGGCAACAAAGGAGTGTATCTATGGGCACAAGTTACTCCAACCCCTAGGTCCACTTGGCCCCCAGGAGGCATTCCAGATGATGATTGAACCTAGTCGGTTAAAGTACAGAATGGTTCATTATTTCCTAGGTGCATTGTCTCTCTGAGAATGTATAAGGCCTGGGTTCCTAAGGCCCTTTTGGCCCCCTCCTGGCACCTCAGACCAAGGCGAACACTTTTGTTCCTCAAACCACAAATGGTTCAGTGAAACAACTAAGAGGTCATGTTCCTGTAACTGTTCCACTTGAGGTGTTGAGAGATAGATGACCTTTCATGAAAACAGCAAAGCAAATGCTTTATAGATTATAGATAAACGTAGATACATAATGAAAATAATGTAAGAAATTAATCAATAAGCAAAGGGCAGGAGGGAATGTTATGAGAAAATAACCATGTTACTCCTTAAAAGGTGATTACACATAGGAACATTTTTAGAATTAGGTAATGCTAGAAAACATAGATGATGCACACTACAAGGAAATTGCTAGCAAATATAATGCCACATTTGCCACAATAAAGCAGCCAGTTCAACACACTGCTGTTGTCTGTGTCCATTTTTATTTTTGATTTATTTTTTTTCATTTTTTTGCCAACGCTGTTCAGCCTTCAGGAACCCCTGGACCTGCTGGAGCTTGACTCCGGCAATGGCTCATGAACAAATCCCCTATATATATAGTTATAGTTGTTATAGTTGTTATAGTTTTATAGTTATAGTTATATAGTAGTTATAGTTATAGTTATGCACTGGAGCCATAGCCAGAGCTATGGTATTAAAAAAACAAACAAAAACAGCTAATCAACACTACTTACACTATGCATTTCTTTGATTTTTTTTTTCATTTTAGCAAATATTTATTGAGTGGAAACTGTGTTAGTTTTTGTTAAAAACACTGAAGACACAAAATCTAATATGATGGTCAGGGTACCTGCTCTTGGGAAGTTCTCATTCTAATTGGGGAAGAGTTAAGTGCTATAAAGATAATCTCACAGAAAGATAGACTTGAGAGCGATAGGGCTCTATAATACACAGAATGGTAAGAGAGGGCTATTTCTTACGATCTTTCTCCTTCTTTATATTGGTGCACACCAGAGTCTGTAATGTTCCAGAAACAGCCTTCAATTTATAAAAATCCATTATTTCTTCTTCCAATTGTCTTCTCTTCTCCTCAAGTTTCATTGTCTCCTCTTGTTGGACTCGTTTAAGATGCTCAAACTTTTCTTGTAACTGTAAAACAAATGCGCAGCTGTGACTCAATGCACACTATGGTAGCACATTCCCAGGGACTTGATGGTGTTTTCTACTGGTTATTAAATATAACCTAATCATCAGAGTAGAGCATGATCTTAGTAACAGTCTCTAAATTTCATGTTTAAAGTAGAAAATCATATATGAAATTTCTTTCTTAATTTTAATTTTAAATGTGTCCCCATTGAGCCAAATGTAATAAGATGCAAAATTATGAAAAATACTCAATTTAAAAATTTTTACTAATGTATAATTTTTTACTCTATACTTTTCACTAATCTCTCTGAGTAAAAATTGATAGATCCATGTCCTGTAAAGATACATACATTAAATTTTGACATGGATTATAAGTTTTTTGTCTATACTTTAATTGATAAAGTCATTTCAAAAGAAAGTCTGATAATTTCCTTGTTAAGATTAGTACAATTATAGGAAGAAAAAAACCTCATTCAGTTACTTGTTATTTACTACTGAGATCTTTAATCTGTAGGATTTAAGCCAAATTAATCATAAGAAAGAGATAATACCACCTTAGTTTCCATTAGAGACAGGCCTGGGTCTTTAGTAAGACATTATTCAACATAAGGATTGCTTGTATGCATCAGAGATGGTATGATTTTTTTGAATTTTTGCTAATCCAAAAAAATTATAAAGGACCAACTAATTTTCAGTTTAACTTTTTGAAAAACAGGCTAGGGGCTTAAATTGCCACAATATTAATTAGCTGCCTTATATGGCTGTGAAGAACACAAGCATGGTGTTGATATTACCCTAGATGCCCATTAGAATCGTTCAGTAAGTTTGTAAATCTCCTAATGCACAGGCTACCCACAGATCAATTGCATCACACTATCTGGAAATGAAACCTGAGCATCAGTCCTTTTAGAAAATCCCCAGGTAATTTTAGTGTGCAGCAAAGTTTGAGATCCATGGTCTTTCTTTTTTTCTTTCTTCCTCTTTCTTTCTTTCTTTCTTTCTTTCTTTCTGAGAGACAGAGAGAGAGAGAGTGGGGGAGGGACAGAGAGGGAGAAAGAGAATCTCAAGCAGGTTCCATGCTGTGAGCATGGAACCCAATGTGGAGCTTGATCTCATGAACTGTGAGATCGTGACCTGAGCCGAAATCAAGAGTCTGATGCTTAACCGACTGGGCTACCCAGGTGTCCCAAATCCATGGTGGGTTTTTTTTTTTTTTAATGTTTATTTATTTTTGAGAGATAGAGTAGGGGAGGGTCAGGGAAAGACGGAGACACAGAATCTGAAGGAGGTTCTAGGCTCCAAGCTGTCAGCACAGCTGACATGGGGCTTGAACCCATGAGCCATGACATCATAACCTGAGCTGAAGTCAGATGCTTAATCGACTGATCCACACAGGCGCCCATAAGTAAAGATTACATTCCTTCTGCTGAAGTCAGATAGAATTCATTTTCATGCCTGAGAAGGAAATGAGTACTGACACACAGTTGAAAAGACTGGGGATGTGAGAGTGTGATATCTATAAATGATGGCAAAAATCAGTGAGAAAACTCACTTAAAGATGGGAAGGTGAGACTTGGAAGGAAGATGGCAGTGGAGTAGGAGGAACTGAGGCTCACCTTCTCCCACAAACACAACTAATTAACTATCCAATCATCCTAAATGTGCCAAAAATAAACCTGAAGACTGACAGAACAAACTCCACAATTAAAGGGAGAGAAGAGGTCACATCAAAGAAGATAGTAAGTGTGGAGATGTGATTTAGAGGAGAAATGGATATCAGGTGCTGTGAAGGGAACCTGATATCAACAACCTGATACCAACAGGTAGCTGTTGGTCATGGAAAAGGGAGAGAGTGAGGGGAGCACATGGAGGAATGCACAAGGAGAATGTTTCCTCAAAGCCATTGGCTTGGAAAATAAAATGGGTTGAACTATGTGAGTTCTTACAACTTGTGAGGCTTAGATCCTGGAGTTTTCAAGATCAGGAAGTTTGGCTCAGATAGAGCCCTGAAAGCACTGTCCTGCTCCTGGAAAGAAGATAGGCAAAGAACACGGGGGCAGATGGCATGGAAACAGTGATCTGAAGAACACCTGGGACACATAATTGGAAAGATTATTTGTCCTTCTTAGAGCTTCTCTGAGAGACAGCATTCACTAACACATCTCTCCAGGAACAAAGGAGCTGACTGGCACAATTTCCCTTCTCCATCCTTCAGCAAAAACACAGAGCCACCTGCTGGAAGCAGTGCAGCACTGACACTGGCTGTCTAACTTCCATATACCAAGCCCCATGCATTCTACCAGGACTGCCTTCTCAGTCAAGCTTGCCTCAGTCCCAGTGTGGCAGGCCCCTCTCTCAGAACACCAGCACAAACGTCTGCCCAGATCACATCTCCTGACCAAGGAGTACTGCAGGGCCTCACTTCTAGCGGAACTGATGTCAGGTCTCATTTCACAAGCAGACCAGAGCATATCTAGTTAAAACTCACCACATTCAGGCCTGAGACCAAACATTACCTACTGCAGGCAAGGAGAGCCTCTGCAGATGAGTAGCCTGAAGGATAGAGCAGCCAGAAAACAACAGCAGAGTGCACACAGTACAAACTGCACATACTTCAGGAAGTACCAGGCCTGAGCACTACCTGACCTCTTCTTTATTAGGCCATTACTTTCAGGAGGAAGAGACACAACTGGCTTTTCTAACACAGAGAAGAAAGGAGAGATTTAGACAAAATGCCAAAAACATAGTAATTTATCCCAAATGAAAGAACAAGATAAAGCCAAATCAGAGAGATAAGTAAAACAAATATAGGTAACATGCCTGACGGAAACTTTAAAGGAACAATCATAAGGATACTCTATTCAGAAAAGAATAGAAGACATCAATGAGACCCTTACCACAGAGATAAGAGAGTTAAAAAGAACCAGAGATGAAGATTGAAATACACACACTGGGAAACAAGCTTGATGCAATGAAGAGCAGACTGAAAGAAGCAGTGGAATAATATAGTGTCCTAGAAGGGAGAATAATGGAAAATAAAGAAGCTGAAGAAAAGAAAGAATTATGCAACACAAGAATAGAATCAGGGAACTCAATGAATCCATCAAATGTAATAACATTCATTTTATGAAAGATATGAATCTCTTTCATCAGCGTTGTATAGTTTCTCTTCTTATAGAAGAATAGAAACAATGGGGGTGGGGTTAGAAAATTTATGTGAGGAAATAATAGCTGAAAATTTCCCTAATCTGGGGAAGGAAACAAATATCTAGATCCAAGAGGCACACAGAACTCCCATCAAAATCAACAAAAGCAACTCAACACCAAGACATATTGTAATAAAATTTGTAAAATATAGAGACAGAGAAAACATCTTACAAGCAGAAGTCTTTACAAGGGAAGACCCATAAGGCTAGCTGGATATTTCTCAATATAGACTTGGCAAGCCAGAAGGAAGTGGCATGATATATTGAAAGTGATGAATGGGAAAAATCTGTGGCTAAGGATACTCTATCCAGAAAAGCTTTCATTTAGAATAAAGAGATAAGGAGTTTCCCAGCAAACAAAACCAAAGGAGTTCGTGACCACTAAACCAGCCCTGCAATAAATATTAAATGGAACTCTTTGAATGGAAAGGAGGGACCAAAAGTGAACAAAGAAGAAAGGATCAGAAAAAATCTTCAGAAACAGTAACAAAACAAGTAATGAAATGACACTGACTACACATCTATCAATAACTACTTTGAATGTAAGTGAACTAAGTATTCCAATCAAAAGATATAGGGTGACAGATGGATAAAAAAAAAAAAAAACTGAGACCCATCTATGTGCTGTCTTCAAAAGACCCATTTTCAACTTAAAGACACATACAGATTGAAAACAAGGGGATGGAGAAACATCTTTCATGCAAATGGATGTCAAAGAAAGCCAGAGTAGCAATACTTGTATCAGACAAAATAGACTTAAAACAAAGACTATAACAAGAGATGAAAGAAGGCACAATATCAAAATACAGAGGACATTCCAAATATAATATCTAACAGTTGTAAATATTTATACACCCAACATGATAGCCCCCAAATATATTAAAAATTGAAACAAACATAAAGGTACTCATTGATAATACAATAATAGTAGGGGACTTTAACACCCCACTTTATACCATTCAGCTACTGAAAGACATCTCAGTTGTTCCAAGTTTTGGCAATAATGAATACATCTCTTTTAAACATCTGTGTATAGGTTTTTGTGTGGACATAAGTTTCATTTCCTCTAGGTAAATACCAAGGAGTACAATTGTTGAATTATATTGAAAAGGGCATGACTAGTTTTTTTTTTTTTTTTTTTTTTTTTTTTTTAATTTTTTTTTTCAACGTTTATTTATTTTTGGGATAGAGACAGACAGAGCATGAACGGGGGAGGGGCAGAGAGAGAGGGAGACACAGAATGGGAAACAGGCTCCAGGCTCTGAGCCATCAGCCCAGAGCCTGACGCGGGGCTCGAACTCACGGACCGCGAGATCGTGACCTGGCTGAAGTCGGACACTTAACCGACTGCGCCACCCAGGCGCCCCGCATGACTAGTTTTTTAAGAAAACACCAAACTTTTTCAAAGTACATGAAAACGTATGAGAAAACAAGAGTCCAAAACATCTGGAATGCAGCAAAAGCAGTTCCAGAGGGCTGTTTATAGCAATATAGGCCTACCTCAAGAGAAAGAAAAATCTAAGCAACCTAACCTTACACTAAAGAAACTAGAAACACAACAGTAAACAAAACCCCAAACCAGCCGAAGGAAGGAAATAATCAAGATTATAACAAAAATAAATGATATAGAAACTAAAAACAAAACAAAACAGGTCACAGCAATGAAACTGGGAACTGGTTCTTTGAAAAAAAAATAACAAAATTGATAACCCCCTAGTCAGAATTATCCAAAAGGAAAGAGAGAGGAAAGGACTCATATAAATAAAATCACAAATGAGACAGGAGAAATAACAACCAACACCACAGAAATACAAACAATTACAAAAGAATGTTATGAAAAATTATATGCCAACAAATAGGATAATTTGGAAGAAATGGATAAATTGCTTAACATATTAACCGCCAAAGTTGGAAACAGCAAGAAATAGGAAACTTGAACACATCAATAACCAGCAAAGAAATTGTATCAGTAATCAGAAAACTCCCAGCAAACAAAAGTCCAGGGCCAAATGGCTTCACAGGAGAACTCTAGCAAACATTTTAAAAAGAGTTAATACCTATTCTTCTCAAATTAGTCCAAAAGAGTAGAAATGGAAATAAAACTTCCAAACTCATTCTATGAGGCTAGTGATTACCCTGATTCCAAAACCAGACAAAGACTCCACTAAAAGAGATCTATAGGCCAGTATCTCTGATGGTTGCAAAATTTCTCAAAAAAATATTGTTAAATCCAATCCAACAATACATTAAAGAATAATTCATCATGACCAAGTGGGATTTTACCTGGATTAATGGTGGTTCAATATTTGCAAGTCAATGTGACACATTACATTAATAAAAGAAAAGATAACCATATGATCCTCCCAATCGATGTAGAAAAAGAATTTGACGGTACACATTCGTTCTTGATGAAAACCCTCAACAAAATAGGCATAGAGAGTATAGACTTCAACATAATAATGGCCATATAAGAAAAATGTACAGCTAACATTATCCTTAAAGGGGAAAAACTGAGAGTTTTTCCCCTAAGGTCAGGAACAAGACAAGGATGTACTCTCTCCCCTTGTATTCAACATAGTACTGGAAGTCCTAGCTACAGCAATCAGATAACAAAAAGAAATAAAAAAGAATTCATATCAGCAAGGAAGAAGTCAAATTTTCACTAAATGCAGACTGCATGAAACTCTAGAAAACCCAAAAGACTCCACGAAAAAAAACCTGCTAAAATGAATAAACAAATAAATGAATTTAGTAAAGTTGCAGGATACAAAATCAACATACACAAATCTATTGCACTTATACACAAATAATAAAACAGCAGAAAGAAATTAAAGAAAACAATCCCATTTATAATTGCACCCAAAATAATAAGATACCTAGGAATAAACCTAAACAAAGAAGTAAAACAATTGTATTCTGAAAACTAATGCTGATGAAAGAAATTGAAGATAACATCAAGAAATGGATTGGAAGAACAAATGTTGTTAAAATGTTTATACTACCCAAAGCAATCTACACATGTAATACAATCCCTATTAAAATACCAACAGCTTTTTTCATAGATAGAACTAACAATCCTAAAATTTGTATGGAACCACAAAAGACACCAAACAGCCAAAGCAATCTTGAAAAAGAAAAGCAAAGCTGGAGATACCACAATTCCAGACTTCAAGTTATATTACATATCTGCAGTGATCAAAATGCTTTGTTACTGGCACAAAATAGATACATATATCAAGAGAAAAGAATAGAAAACCTAGAAATAAACCCACAACCATATGGTGAATTAATCTTCAACAAAGCAAGAAGGAATATCCAGTGGAAAAAGATAGTCTTTTCAACAAATGGTGTTGGGAAAACAGGACAGCAACATGCAAATGAGTGAAATGGAACCACTTTCTTACACCATACACATAAAACAGTTCAAAATGGATTAAGGACCTAAATGTGAGACCAAAAAGCATAAAATCTGAGAAAAGAACATAAGCAGTAACCTCTTTGACATCAGCCATAACAACTTTTTTCTAGATATGTCTCCTGAAGTATTGGAAACAAAAGCAAGAATAAACTCTCGGGACTTCATCAAGATAAAAAGCTCCTTCACAGTGAAGGAAACAATCAACAAAATTCAAAGGCAACTTAAGGAATGAGAGAAGATATTTGCAAATGACAAATCTGCTAAAGGGTTAGTATCCAAATTATATAAAGGAATTATAAAAGTCCACATCCCCCCAAAAAACAAACAATCCAATTAAAAAATGGGCAGAAGACATGAACAGACAATTCTCCAAAGAAGGCATGCAGATGGCCAACAGACAGGTGACAAGATGTTCATCATCACTTACCATCAGGGAAGTGCAAGTAGAAACTACAATGAGACATCACCTCACACCTGTCAGAATGGCTAAAATCAACAACACAAGAAACAACAGGCGTTAGTGAGGATGTGGAGAAATAGAAATCTTCATGCACTGTGCAAAGGTGCAGCAATTCTGGAGAAAAGTATGGAGGTTCCTCAAAAAGTTAAAAATAGAACTACCCTGTGATCCAGCAATTGCACTACTGATTTTTACCTGAAGAATACAAGAACACTAATTCAAAAGGATACATACAGCAGCATTATTTACTATAGCTAATATATGGATGCAGTCCATGTGCCCATTCATTGATTAATAAATAAAGATGGGGTATATATATTGCAATGGAATATTATTCTGCCATGAAAAAGAATGAAATCTTGCCATTTGCAATGACATGGATGTAGCTAGAGACTACAACTAAGCAAAGTAAGTCAGTCAGAGAAAGCCAAATACCATATGATTTCACTCACATGTGGAATTTGTTAAACAAAACAAGTGAGCAGAGAGAAAGTTCAAGAAACAGTCTCTTAATTATAGAGAGCAAACTGATAGAGACAGAAGGGTGTGGGGGGATTGGTTAAAGAGGTGATTGGGGATTGGGAGTGCACTTGTGATGAGCCCAGGGTAGCATATGGAAGTGTTGAATCACTATATTGTACACTTGAAACTAATATAACACTGTATGCTGGGGCGCCTGGGTGGCTCAGTCAGTTGAGCGTCTGACTTCAGCTCAGGTCATGATCTCATAGTTTGTGAGTTCGAGGCCCACATCAGACTCTGTGCTGACAGCTCAGAGCCTGGAGCCTACTTCAGAGTCTGTGTCTCCCTCTCTCTCCATCCCTCTCCCGTCATGTTCTGTCTCTTTCTCTCAAAAATAAGTAAACGTTAAAAAAATTTTTAAAAATAACATTGTATGCTAACTGAAATTAAAATAACAGATTTAAGAAGATGAGAAGAAAGATGATGAAATCTCTAGTAATGTGGGAAATGTACAAACATCAATTTTAAGTATTTGAAAATTATAAAGTTGTAAGTTTGAATTCTAATTTATCTGCTACATGTGCTTAAAAAGTTTGCTTTACCTCTGTGAGTCTCCACTTTCCTTGCCAGTTAATCATAACTTCTGTCTACTTATCATGTTTTCAATAATTAAGCTGTTCCTTTTCTGAGCAAGTCTGGTGGGCCCATTTCCTTTCATTTTACTCTTTGCGGTTGCTTTTACTATCCCGGTCATTTTATTTCAACCAGAAATTTATTTTTTTTCTACAAAAATTAATCTCTGTTCTCTGTTAAGAATTTTATCACTCTGCACAACCAATTTTAAGTTATATTTGGTTTTTCTTGAGGGAAATATAACTGAAGAATGGGAGAATAACTGATGACCAGAGGACAAAAATGAAACAGATGTACACAGTTAAGTGCCATAACTAAGGGGAATAAAGTAGGGAAGAAATAGAGAATGTAAATGGCTGATTTGGTTTCTGATAACCTCCTACTTTGGGTTTAAGTTATAAGATCCAGTTATGCTTTCTGTTCTTGGATTCCATAAGATACCCTTGAATAATTCCAAAACTTTACCTTTATACGGAAGCTAAAAGAATTTTTATTACCTATAATTCAACTGTCCATGATTGAGACATCTGTTACAGAACACCTAATCACTACATTGTTTCTATTGAGAAAGAAGTTCATGTTCAATGTACCTATTTCTGCTCAAAACTAAAATATTAAGTTAAAACCACAATCATCTGAAAGGTATTTATGATTCCAAATATATTTTTTGTTAAAAAGGTATTGGTGCAAATAATCAAAACTATATAAGTTGTCTTTTTTTTCAATTTCTTGGAAACATAAAGGAATGAAATGAAAAAAAAATCCAAATAATTCACCAACTAAATGTTTTCTAATTAATTAAGATGTGTGTTATTCAACATTTACCTGCTTATTTATAAAAGTGAAAATTTTTTATAATGCAGTAGTAGCATTAGAAAGTAATAACTCTTCACACATATCAATAGCTTGAATTTTTTATAAATTAAAATTTATTCATGAAAATTCATATTATAAAATAAAATAAAGGTAAATAGGTTTCACAAAATTATTTTCATTTTTTCTAAAAATACAAATTGTCTATATGTTCTAAAAAATAAAATTGTTGACTATAATTTTTAAAGCTTGTATTCAAAACCTATACTGTAAACAGCTACTTCAAAAGTAGCAAGTCTCCTCCAAAATCATCAACTAAACCTTTGATATTAAAACTCCAAATTAATAATACACATTAAAATGAACACAAATTGGATTATATCAGTGTACTTGCCTCTTTTTCAGATTCTTTAAATGTTGTTTCTTTATCCTTTACTCGCTGCATAAACTTTTGTTTCAATTCTTCTTCTTCCCTCTGACATTGATCATAGAACTTTTGTCTTTTATCTTCATAGATCTCTTGGAAACTATAAAAAATATTTTATTATTGTCATATTAAAATGGTATATAAATAAACCTGTAAAAATATATACTGTACAGTACATAAACTATATACTGTAAAATATAATGTAAAAAATTTATATCATGAGATGTAAAAAAGTGGAGTGCAGTATTGAATATATGGACAGCCTACCTAAAGAGTACTAGAATTTTGAAACACTTATATCAGTGATTTCTTATTATCAACACTTTTCATTATATCACAACTCTTCACATCTTTTGATAATAAAATTTCAGGAGACCTCTACTTTATAAAATTCTTATTTAAAATGAAGCATCATCATTATCCTCCTCCTCATCATCATCATAGCTATAATTATCAAAACAGTATGGTACTGGCACAAAAATAGACAAATAAATGGATCATAATTAAGATCCCCAAAACAAACCCAAGTTTATATGGTTAATTAATCTATGACAAAGGAGGAAAGAATACACAATGGGTAAAAGTCTCTTCAATAATTGGCACTGAAAAACTGAACAGCTAGGTGCAAACGAATGAAAATGGACTACGTTCATATACCATACACAGAAACTCGAAATTAATTACCTAAAGCGAAACCTGAAACCATAAAACTCCTAGAAGAAAACATAAGCAATAATCTCTTGGACATTGGTCAACATTTTCTGCCAACATTTTTCTAGCTATGTCTCCTCAGGGAAAGGGAACAAAGGCAAATATAAACTATTTTGACTACACCAAAATAAAAGACTTTTGTACAGTGGAGGAAACCATCAACCAAATAAAAGGCAACCTACTGAATGGGATAAAACATTTGCAAATAATATATCTGATATGAGGTTAGTAACAAAAATATATAAAGAACTTCCACAACTCAACACCAAAAAGAAAAAAATAAACTGATAAAAAATGGGCAGAGGATGTGAATAGACATTTTTCCAATGAAAATATACAGATGGCCAACAGACACATGAAAAAATGCTCAACGTTACTATCATCAAGGAAATGCAAATCAAACCACAATGAGACATAATCTTACACCTGTCAGATGTTGGTATGATGTGGCAAAAAGGGAATCCTCATGCACTGTTGGTTGGAATGTAAATTGGTACAAGTGCTGTGGAAAAAAATATGGAGGTTCCTTAAAAAGTTAAAAATAGAAATACCATAGGTTCCAGTAATTCCACTACTGGTTATTTACCCCCCAAAATGAAAACATTAATTCAAATATATATATTATATAAATATATATAATATATTATATATAATATAAATATATATTTATTATATATTATGTAATATATATTATATATTATTTATATTATATATATAATGTATTATATATTTATATATATGAAATCAAATATATATTTGGATATATATTTGATTATTTGGATCTAAATAATATATATTTGGATCCATATATATTCAAATATATATATTTGAATCCTTAAGTGTGTTTCAGCATTATTTACCATAGCCAAGACATGGAGGCAACCTGTTTCCATCAATAGATGAATGGATAAATAAGATGTGGGGTATGTCTGTGTGTATGCATGTGTGTGTGTGTAAATAATATTACTCAGCCTTAAAAAAGAATAAGATCTTGCTATTTGTGACAACAGGGATGGACCTAGAGGGTACTAAGCTAAGTGAAATGTCATAGAAAGAAAAATACCGTATGATTTCACTTATATGTGGAATGTAAAAAACAAAGCAGATGAACAAATAAGCAAACAAAAGGAGGAAACGACAAATAAATATGAACAAACTGGTGCCTACCAAAGGCTAGGGGAATGGGAAATGGGAAAAATGGGTGAAAGGGAGTGAGGGGGTAGAGGCTCCTGGTTATGAAATAAGTAAGTCAAGTGGGTGAAAGGTACACCATAGGAAATAAAGTCAATGGTATCATAATGGTGTTGTATGGTGACAGATGGTAACTACACTTGTAGTGAGTGTAGCAGAATGTAAAAGTTGTCAAGTCATTATGTGTACACCTTAAACTAATGTAACGTGTATCACTATAGTTAATTTTTAAAAATTATTTTATGAGTGAGAAAAATCTGGTTTTCACATCTTACTTTTTTTTTAAATTTTTTAACGTTTATTTATTTTTGAGACAGAGAGAGACAGAGCATGAACAGGGGAGGGGCAGAGAGAGAGGGAGACACAGAATCTGAAACAGGCTCCAGGCTCCGAGCTGTCAGCACAGAGCCTTATGCGGGGCTCAAACTCACAGACCTGAGATCATGACCTGAGCCGAAGTCAGACGCTTAACCGACCAAGCCACCCAGGCGCCCCATGGTTTTCACATCTTTCTTAGAAAGTCTACCTCTTCTCCCAAAATAAAAATTAAATATTAAGTCAGACATCTTTCAAAATATAATTCAGTTAAAATAACCAGTTCAATTTTGTTTGTCTTCAAAATACCTGAAAAAAATCAGCATACCTGGATCATACCACACTCTCATCATTTGCAGCACAAAAACTATTCTACTTAAATATCACTAAATACACCTACTCTCAAACTATTTTCACTTGAATTCTACAACATTCCACTGTGGCTTTTCCTCTCTCTTTCATCCAACATTCAATGTCCTTTGTCATCCTTCTTAATATTCTTTGCCAGCTCTTATCAATAAAGGCTTTGGCAATATTTGGAAACCTCCTTCATGTACATCTATTTCATATAAAATACAAAAATAAAAACAATATAATGTTTTTCTTTTGGATACACATTTCAGCATATATACATATTGGATACATTGGATACTCTTTTTTGAGCACATAAATGAGCCCTTTAATTATGTTGCTCCTAACAACTCTCTCCAAGTCTGAAGATGATTAAAAAACAAAATTTGAGATGATCCATTTGGATACAACATGGCAGAGAAGTAGGGGGATCTGAAGTTCCCTCATCTCTCAAACACAGCAGTGTTGAGGCCAAAGGACTTTGAACTCCAAAAGTCTGGGCGACCAAGTAACAGAGATGCCTCCAGGGACCCACTGGGACAAACTGGCAGGCCATTGGTGTGTGATTACAAACTGGGAGAGATAAAACGGGCAGCAGAGGAATGGAGGGGAAGGATCACCTTCTGTGGAGAGACAAAGGGAAGAGAAAGAGAGGGTGGGAAAGCATAGGACTGTATCTGGACAAGAGAAAAACCACAGACCAGGACGGAGAAAGATCCAATCTCTTAACTGTGGGGCTTTCTCCGGATTGGACGAGCTGCCCTGTTTGCACACCTGGGGAAGAGGAGAGCCAGTCCCAAGCTCAGTAACTAGTTCAGAGGTGCAGTCTACAGAGGGAGAAAGCAAATCCCTCCCTGGAGTGGTGTGGGAAGAAGGTATATAGCCATTCAGAGGAAAAAGACTGCCTGCACCTGCCAGCCAGAGACCATATATCTGGCAGTGCAAAGAGGCACTTCCCAAAACTTAGGGTGTATAGAGTGGGAACCTTTAGACATCGGGGTTTAAGTCCCAGCCAAGATGCAGGGAGGCACAGAAGTCAGTGGAGCAGGACAAACCACCTTGTTTGAGCCCATGGCACAGTGAAGACAGCATGAACAGAGTGGTTTGGGACACACTGTCCATGGAGGAGAGACTAGGGTGCCATTTTTCTCCCCATCACCAATAATGTGGGGCTTCAGGGAATAAACAGTGAGCCCAGAGTGGAAGCAGGACCCGCCTACACCAAACCATGCCCCTCTGTGCCTGGTAACTGTGTATCTATGAGAGCAGGATTGACACTGATGAACCAGACAGCCCCTCCTCCAGACCAGCACTGTTGCATTGCCTGATTTAATTTTCAGACAATTCTTATTCTATAGACACAGTCTTCCTTCCTTTTCTCCTTCCTATCTCTCCCCTTCTCGAGTCTGGTTATTCTGATTGTTGGTTTGTTTAAGCAGACATATTTAATCTATTGGCTTTATACATGTTATACACCTCCTTCTTTATTTTCCTTTCTCTCTCTCTGGATTAATCCATACAGTTTCTCTGGTCAATTTTCCTTTCTTTCTCCCCAACCCTGTCATTTCTCCTTTAGTATGGGATAAGGCCTCTTCCATAAGCACTACCTCCACCATATTGTTTACTTGTAGCTGGTGTTTCTGTGGGTTTTTCTGGGTTTTTTTTTGTTTGTGTGTTTGTGTTTTGTTTGTCTGTTTTCCTTTCCAGGGTTACTTCTATCAACAAATCAAAGTAAACCTGGTGAAGGGTTGAAGCATCACTATGAGAAGTGGAGAGATAAAGTAAACCAAAGTCACAACAACTGAGAGCAAGTAACACACTCCAAAAGACACCTATGGAAGGGACAGACCCTGGACAGTGTATGACACCTCTTTAATATAGTACTTCTTGCAGGTGCAGGGCATGTAACAAACTTTTAAAACACATAAAGGAGAGAAAAACAGTCAAAATGACAATTCTCCTCAAAAGAAATTCCAGGAAGAAATGACAGCTAAAGTATTGATAAACGTTATAACTGAACAAGAATTTAGAATAATCATCATAAGATTAATCGCTGGGCTTGAAAAAAAACATACAACAGAGAAGCTATTGTTGCAGAGATCAAGGAACTAAAAAATAGCCATGATGAATCTAAAAATGCCATAAATGAGGTGCAAAATAAACTAGAGGTGATGACAGTGAAGATTGAAGAGGCAGAGGGGAGAATAAGTGAAATGGAAGATAAAATTATGGGAAACTATGAGGCTGAGAAAAAGGGAGTTTTAAAAATTCTGGGGGCGCCTGGGTGGCGCAGTCGGTTGGGCGTCCGACTTCAGCCAGGTCACGATCTCGCGGTCCCTGGGTTCGAGCCCCGCGTCGGGCTCTGGGCTGATGGCTCAGAGCCTGGAGCCTGTTTCCGGTTCTGTGTCTCCCTCTCTCTCTGCCCCTCCCCCGTTCATGCTCTGTCTCTCTCTGTCCCAAAAATAAATAAACGTTGAAAAAAAAAAAA